TTTGTATTCCCCGGGGGGCGGGGGGGGGGATCAGGGCCCTGCTCTCGTCCAGCCCCTTAGCTTGAGGGTCGGCTGGGTGTCAGGGGCTCACATGAAGACGAGTGAGGGGACTCCGATCCGACCCCTGTCCGTCCGGTAGACCGCAGTCACTGGGGTCGAAAACCCAGATTTTCTGTGCTCGAAGCCACCTTTAGGATCACGGGGGGTGGGCGATATGGCGGCGGGCGCGTCCTGCATGCCCCGACGAGGTGGGTGGGGGAGCACGTCCAGAGAAGAGTCCCCCGGGCACATTTCCCCCCTAATTTGTGGCCAGGTTCTCGGGGGCCCGTAGGCGTGAAGAGTGCAGGTTCCTGTCCGCAAGGGATTACGGATCCAAAACACACGGGTTTAGTGCGGAGCAGACTCGAGTCAAAATTTAGAGTAAAATTGCTAACTGGTAGCATCTGGTTCCCCCCGATCAATCACTTTAATAGTGGAGAGAGATGGCGCCCAAGTGCAGAGCTGCCGGGAGCCCCCGGAGCGGCCCCGCGGGGAAGGCGGCTGGGGGGGGGTCAGATCCCCGGGGGCTCTGGCACCACCGAAGCAGAGGGGCGGGCTGGGTGGACGCAAGGCCGTGTCCTTATTCGGGGGGAGGCTAATCAAGAGGGAAGAGCGACATACAGAAAAGGGGGCGTGTTGGGGGGGTGTCTAGGTGCTGGGAGTTGGGAATTGGGGGTCGGGGGTCTTTTTAGCATTGCGCGATGGTCGCTGGAAGATTCTGACACGTTGCGGGCTTTCGACTTTTGATAAAGTCGTCTTTTACCGTTTCCTTTGTCCCTGTCAAGCCCCCCCACGCCGCCCCCTCCCCACTCTGGGCCGGCGGGCTTGGGGAGGGGGGGCGCGAGCGGGTTGCTACGTGGCAGGTTTCTGGAAGGTTCTCTTGCTGGCCGCCAGAGGGCGCTGGTGGCACTGCGGAATTTTGGGGGGCGGGGTGGCGAGGGGAGGTGGCCTTTGTTCTTCTGCTGGAGGGGGTCGAGCGCGGGATTTCCTGGAGAATTCTGGATTCATTTACCTGAGGGGGGAACGTTTCAAGATCTTGGGGTGCACCGGGGAGCAGCTGTAGCATTCGCGCTGGGCGGAGATGTGATTCGCGCTGGCCGTGTGACTTAGGGTATCGCGGAAGAGCGTGGATACGGATGAGTTTATTTTGGTCGGTTTTGGTTTTGGGGGTCTTAATGAAGGTGTGGCATATTTGTGCAGGATGAAGAGGTCGTGAAATTGTTGATTAGGTGCCATCGCGCAGGGTCTTGAAATTCTTGCTGTGGCCAAGAAGAGGAGGTGCAAGATTTGGGGGGGGGGGGCGCATCTGTAGTGCTGTGGATGACTTTAGGGGTTTTTGCCTTTATATTAATTTTTAGTAATACGTTTTTTTGCATCACGTGTCCAGAGACCACACAAATGAGTGAAACGGTGTGTTGAGAACTGGGCCTTTATAATTTTAATTAATTTATGTGTAATTGGATTTACCGAAGGTCAGAGCCAAGATTGCTGTGTTTTTACTTATGAAAAGTGGAATGGTGTTCTGGGAAGACCCTATGGCGAGTGCCTTCTTGATAGCCTCATACGCCTCTGGTGCAGGCTGACCCCCACAGTCGGGGGGCGCAGAAAGGCCTCAGGCCGTGTGTTGGGCGGGGGGGGGGGGGGGGTGTTTCGGTGACACAGCGGCCCTGCGCGATGCGCCGGTGTGGGCTGTGGCCTCCCCCAGACTGAGACCTGTTGGGCGCTCCCCCTCCCCCCGCCCATTCTGTGCCAGCTGTGCCCCTGGCAGCTGCGGGCCAGGCGCTGCGGGGGCGCGGGAGGCTCTGCTGCGCGCGCGCGCGCCGCAGGTGGCTGTGCTCCTGAGCCCTGGGTGCCGGCCGCGCGCCCCCTAGCGGTCTGTGCCTGCAAATGGTTCTTGGCCCGCTAGCCCGGGCTTCGGTTTGCGCATGCGCACACAGCTAACACTTGTGCCCTGTCAATCAAGTCTTCCTTACCCCCTCCCACTTCTCTCCCTCCTCCCCTTTCCAGTGCTTTCCTCGCTACCCCTCCCATTTCTCCTCTTCCCCCTCCCCTCGCGTTTTCCTCCTCCCTCCTCCACCCCCACTTTCTCTCTCCCATTCCCTCCTCCCTCCACCTCCCTCCTATTTCTCCTCCCTCCGTTCCCCTCCCTCTTCCCTCCTAACTCCTCCCTCCTTCCCGCTGCCCCCTCCCTCTCCCTCTGGCTGCCCCCTCCCTCTCTCTGCTGTTCCAGCGCTGGCCGTTAGAGGTCATCAAGATGGTTTCTAATCTGGCCCCCTTCCCACGCCATAGGGTCTCTTCAGGGATGACATCACTCGTTCACCTCCTTGTCTTCAAGGACCACCTCTGGATGCCATGCTGCTGCCAAGGTGCTTGCTGCTCACCTCCACCTGATGGTACCTCAGCCCCTCTTTGTGGCAATAGATACTCAACCTGATGGGCAGAGCCCCCACCCCTGCCAGTCTCCTTGCACCATGCCCAGGCCCATGAGCAATGAAAAGCCCATTTTAAATTTTAACTAATTAGTTTTCGCCGTAATTAATTCACTTACATTTTAATGACTACCTAGACGTAGGCTTTTAAGTGGGTCCTCTAACCTTTGGTCAATTGCAGAGGGCGCTAGGAGATCCGACCCCCTGGATGGAACCAGCATCCAAAGCAGCCCCCGGCAGAGCCCCCCCACCCCTGCCCCCGGGGCCAGGACGACGGAGGATGAAGAGGACCAGGGCCGACCAGCCAGCTCTCCCTCTTGGCGAAATGCTCAATCCAATGCCCTAGTGAGGGGGCATTGGTCGTTAACCTCTGACCTTTGCTATGCTTATGCCTCGATGCTGTCTTCGGATACTTTCCTATAAGTCTCTGCTTGTGTTAATGTGGCAGCAACCTGGAGTGTTTCCCTCCCCGAGGAGTTGTGGGCTTCCTCCCGCAATAGCCCATTGTTGCCTTTGTGATGTCCTGAATGGAAGGATCCCTTCGGGAACTTCTCAGGAGGGGGACCTGGGCCAAGGGCTCAACCAGCATCTCACTGGCAATTCCGAGGCCCACGGTGGGCTTCTGGAATGAGCATGAGCCCTGATGCCATGCTACTCAACTGCCAAGGGCATCCCACCTCTTCTGAGATCTCCCTGGTCTTACTGGGGGAATGGGGTCAAGGAGGGTAACCTCTCAGGGTCGTTGTGAGCATTCAATGAGATAAAGCAGCCAGGGGCAAGGCCGGGCATAGAGGAGGTGGCTGGCAAATGTTTGTTGAAACGGTCTGGTAGGTCCGTCCCTTCCCGCCTCGTCACGTGTCTCATGCTTCTCGTTTGTTCTCCCACAGCGCTCCAGGCAGCCCCTCCCCACGGGGCTCTCCTTTGCACCAGGTAGGGGTCCGCCAAGGTGGGCGTTGGGCTGACCCGAGTGGAATACGAATCATGCATGTGGTCATTTCCAGAGCACTTTCTCTGTTCTCGGAGCGTGTTCCCGCCCCCCCCCCCCCCCCCCCCCCCCCCCAGCAGCCACTACCTGAGTGAATTCTTCAAGAACTCCCCTTATGGCCTTACCCCAAAGCCACCCTGGGCGGCGGGATAGCCTGTTTGAAATCCCAGCTGTCCAGGGTGGTCTGGGGGGGTGTGTGTCTGGGTCGCCCCCCCTCCCGCTGGTGTCATGTGCTGGTCCCACCTCTCAATGACGGTGTGACCTTAAACAAGTCACTTAACGTCTCCAAGCCCCAGTCCCTTTCATGGGCTAAACGGGGATTAAAAAAAAAAAAAAAAAAAAAAAAGCACCCGCCTTTATCTACCCCACAGGGCGCTTTTGAAGACCAAATGATGCAACCCGCTCTGAAAGTGCTTTGTAAATCACTGTGGAAATTGCTAGATACTTAACCCCCCCGGGGGGTTAGTCCCTCGCGGTGCCCAGCCCTCTTCTCCCTCGGGTATAAGAGCACCCAGTAGGTGCTGTGTGTGTTTGCACTCAATAAATAAATTCTGGGATAAATAAAAGCAGAATTAATTCAACAAACATTTTCCAGACCGCCGACAATATGCCCAGCGCACCGGGCCTGGTATGTGATCCAAAGATGATGAAAACAGTCTCCTGGAAGCTAATTGGGGTCCCCAATTGATCAGTACTTTCTTTCGTCCCCTTTTAAGCCAACCAGTTTTGTCCAGAGAAGACAAAAACAGCCCTGGTGCTTTAGAGAAGCCCAGCTTGGTGGAAACAATAGCTCCCCGGCATCTGAAAGGGGCTGATTGGATTATGTGGCAAATGATGGTGGAAGGGTGACTTGGAAGGTGACAAATGAAGTGGGCGGAGGGCTGCTTTGAGTTAATCCAGGCTATTAGGAGGGAACTTTTGTCTTGCAGGGCCTGCCAGGAGCTTTTACTACTGGTTTTTACATCCTTAGTGTACGGACGCATACTTTATGGCCAGTGCAAATCGAGGCCCCGGTGAGATTGGAGTGGGCTGTAAAATTGAGCGTCCTGCTACCAGCGAGTAATTCTAGTGAACGTTTATGTCTCCCTTTGCGCTTGGCAAAGGCCTTTTGCAATCGCCAATTCATTTGAACCTCACAACTCCCTGTCCCGACCCGGGGCCGGCCTGCCACCCTAAGGGAACAGAGGCCATCAAGCCTTCCAATTGGGGCCCCATGGCACGTTTGCACCCCCTGTCACCTCTTGGGTAGCAGAGGAAGAGGTGTCCTCTGTGCTGGTCCCTCCTGTCTCCGACCTGTCCGCCCCCCACCCTCTTCTACGACTGCTTCCCTCCAAATTCCTAACTTTGCTCTCTCCACAGCCGGGAGCCCCTCAGGCCCCTCCCGTCCCCCTTTCCAGCCACTACAGCCTGTCTCTTTCCTTTCGCAGCCAAGCTTCTCGAAAGGCCTGTCTACACTCGCTGTCTTCCTTCCTCACCTCCAATTTCCTCTTCAACCCACTGCTTCCTGACTTGTTCCGCTCCGTCGAATGGCCCTAACTCAGGTAATGACTTTTCTGTCGCTTAACTCTGGACACGTTTCCAACTCACGGACACACAGACACGCGGACACGTTGTCATTGTTTCCCTCCTGTGGCATTCGGTTCTGGTTCACTCTCGTCGACACAGACTCTCCGGACACTTCCCAGAGCCCCCCGCTCCTGGCCTCCCTCGTTCTGAGTTCCCCCAACGCCCTGGAGTGCTCCCTTCTCTCTGGGAACCACCTTTGCCGGGTTCGGGGCCTGGCTAAACCGCCTAGTGCTGAGCCCTTGGGGTCGGTCAGTTCTCTCCAAGCCACGTTTTCCTCAGTTGCGGAAGAGGGTTAATCTCTCCCCGGCAGCTCAGGTAGGATATGTTGTAGGTACGAACCAGGCGCTATTTGAGGGTCTTGAAATAAGGCCAGTGAAGTGCTTGTGAGAAAATCAGGAGTCCCCATTAGCGTTTCTTACAGGTTAAGTTCCCACGGGGAGAACCAGGAAGGGAGAAAAGAAGTGAGGGCCGGGGCGTGTGTGGGGGGAGAAGCAGAGAAAGACAAAAAAAAAAAAAAAAGTAAGAAAAGACACGGAAGGCACTAATGAAAAAGTAGGGAAGGGAGACTTGGAAAATAGTAAAATCTACCAAAAGCCCATCCGGAGAAAGTTTTCCTCTTGGGTCGGTCGGGGCTGAAAAAGAAAGTAAACAGGAAAAAAGGTTTTAAATTGATTATCCTGGTGACAAATCCCAGGGAGCTTTCAAATCAAATTGCCCCATTTTGGGTTTTTAATTCCTTCTGTCAAGTTTAACCTCTTTACCTCCTACATCCTGGTTAAACCGGCCTCAGTCCCCCACACCCCCCTCGCTGGTGATTAAATCCCGAAGGTGGACGCAGTCTTTCAGGGAGTGAATGGCCCACAGAGCGAGCCCTCCCCCTCCCCCCAGCTGTGGTCTTCAGTTTTCTTTCACTTTCTGCCCTTTTCCCTTAATGAACGCAGGGCTAATCTTGGGCCCTGTCAAGGAAGAGGCTGCAGACCTTAATGAGGTAGCTGCTGGATTCCAATATTCATCTCATAAGGAGCCCTTCTTTGTCTGTGAAGGAAAAACACATTATGATTATCATAATGAGGCGAACCGGCGTCCGCAGGCAGGGACGGCCGGTGCTCAGGCCACGCTTCTAATTCTGGTGCCGGAGTCCGGGTTTCATTTGCTCCTCATTTAAGTCTCTGCCTCTGTCCCAGCGTGGGGCCCATCGAGCGGGCTTGAAAGTTGAAGGCTGCTTTGGGAAGTGGGCCGCAGATAGGGCCGCTGTGCGGAAAGTTCCTTTGTCCGACCCGACTACATACAGATGTCACAGTGGTCCAGGCCCCTCTCGTCTCCTGGCTTCCTTCTTCCAGAAGCTGGGAAACGGGGGTGCGTGTTTCCTACTAAAGCACAGGCACCTGGCCTGTTTCAGGGCGCCCGGGTCATTAGAAACTTCATTATCGGGTGGTTGAAAAAGTGCCACGTCCTACGTGCAGAAGCCGTGGAATTATCCCCAAGCCAACACGCACGGAATGCCCCCATCCTGGCCGAGAAATAGATGGAGATTAGCACCCCAGAGGGCCCCCCCCATGGAATGGCACAGTTTGGGGTTCACACTTGGCTCCCAAATACCGCCGAGAGTGAGCTTCAGAGGGCCAGCTGTTTGTCAGGGTCACTCAGCGAGCCAAGGGCACAGAGGGGGCCTAGAAGCAGTTAAGTCCCTGCTTTCATAACCCCCCTGAATCTCTCCCTCCCCCACGCGCCCTGTGCCTCCCTGGGATGCACCCCGCTTCTGTCCTGATTTGTACGCCCCAGAGCCCGTCAATGTCTTTACAGTAGGTATGCCCTTGAGCCTGAAACTTGCCCTTCTGTGTCCCAAGTTCTGGGCTTTTTCACCCTACGGGGGATCCGTCAAGATTCGATCACTCCCAGTTCATCACCATCAGACCCTAGCCAGACTGTCCGCCAAATGGAAAAAACAAAAAAACAAAAAACGGAGAAGGGAGGTGATTAGAAGTAGGGCTTAGAAGGGGCTGGGAGGGGCTCATAGTTACCTGTTGGCCAGAGATTCTTTGGCCTCATGGGTCAGAATTAGCCCCTCTTTTCGAGTCCGCCAAACCAACTGTCACCTCCGGACTGAAGGATGTCCAGGTGACCCAGATGTCACCGGGACGAGGGGACTGGGAGTGGGTGGGCTTCAACTACACGCCCCCAAGTCATTCATATTCCAGCATTTGAGAACTGGGGTAGGAGTGGGGTGGGGGGAGGCATTCGCCGACCAGGATCTTAGGGGTTTGGTGCTCATTCCCATCACCCCGTGTGCCTGGCACATGATGAAACCATCTCCCCTAACCCCTCTCCTGCTTGGGTTTCTCAGAAACTAGGCAGTCAGGCTGTCCTGAGGCCACCAGCCGAGGGGACTACGCTAATTGCTCCCTTGAGCACGGAGGTGGCCCTTTTTAACTTGTCTCCTTGTTTCTCCGGACCCCCTGCACCCCACTCTTCTGGCCCCAGGGTCCAGCCTGGCTTCCTGTGGGAGCCCCCCCGGCTCCCAGACCGTGCTGGTCTCAGTGCCCCTCAGTGAATCTGTCCCAGGGGCTCTGGAGTCCCAGGAAGATGGGGCCTTCACCAGGTGGAAAACCAGAGAAGGCCAGGAGATGTACCCCCACTGCCCACCCCCTGATTCTCAGTGTCTGTGTTTCTGCTTTTCCTGCCCACCTCTGTTCTCTACTCCCCCCTCACCTCCCCCTGCCCCCCCCCCTCCATCCCCGTCTCCGGATCCAGTCCCCTGGGGGTGTCCTAGGCCCGCCCATGTCTCCTCTGGGTGCCCTAGCTCCAGCCTGGCACAAAGTGGGGCTCAGTAAGAGTATGTGGGACGTCTGTTTGGACAGGTGAGTCAGTGAAGGAACCGCCATGCCTGTGTGACGCTAGGTGGGAGAATTTGGGAGCCAAGGAGTTTTAGGTAAAAGGGTGGAGGCCGGGTTTCATTTCTGTGAGGGGAGTGGGCGCCGCCCCACCCTCAGCCCCATTTGAGCTGGGCCTTTCTGGTCTCACCCCTTCATTCACTCAGGCGTCCATCCCGTCATCCAACAGTTGATCCTTACTGAGCGAGCCCATGGCCCGGCCCCGGCTTGGCCCCTGAGTCCCTTAGCTCGACCCTTGATGGCCTCTGCCTCCCCGGAGGGCTGGCTGGGGGGGGGGGGGGGTTGCTTCGGCTGAGGGCGGCCTCGCCCTGTGTCAGGCACCGGAGCAGTGGCCTCCGGCTGTGTGGTGAAGGCAGGCAGGAGGGTGTGGGGGCAGTCCTGGTCTGCCGCCCTTTGGCCAGTTGGCCCCTGTGACCTTTACTTTAAACCCTGGAGGAGACTTGAACCTGCTCGACTCTGGGGCTCTGCCCCCCTCCCGTCCCCACTGCCTCCCACCCCCCGTCCCGTAGCTGAGTGCTGATGGCTGCCCTGGACCCCCGCCCTGCGGCTCCGGACCCAGGGCTGCGATGTGCGTGCCCTTCGGGCTGTGGCCACACAGGTCCCCCTCTGGAGTGGGGCTCCGCGAACTGGGCCTCTTCCTCCATGACGCCTTCCTCCCCTGGGGCTAAATCCAGCCCCTTTGCCACCCAGGCGCTGGCTGGTGGGGGTCCTGTCCCGTGCAGGGGACAGGTGACTGGGAGCCTCCAGGGAGCTCTGCAGCCTTCGTCTCTGTCTGCTTGTCTCTGCTCTGCTCTCCCTGGGGGCCACGTTGAGCCGCCTGGAGCTCTGTCGCCTGGCCTGACCCTCATGCCCCCTCTCTCTGCTCCTGACTCTTGGCCTCGCTTGTCTAGCCGTCTGCCCAGCAGTTTGGTTTGCGCTGCGGAGCCCGCACCTGCGGTTACCCGGCCCTGCTCGCGGTCTCGGCTGCCTGCCCTTCTGTTGGGTCCAAACTCCCCACTCCCTCAGGACCCTCCCCCTGCCACCCCGAGTTTCCAGCCAGTCCCCAGTGCCCACGGGACCGTGCCCACGTACGCCACCTCCCCCAGACATCCCCGGACGCTTCCTCCCATGGGATGGGGGGAGGTCAGAGCCACGTGGCCGCAGCCAGACTTCCGTCCTGCCCCTCACCCCCACGCCGCTGGTCATGCCCCCCTGGGTGTCGGCCACAGCCTGCCCCTGTGAGCCCTGGGCTCTGCCGTGCTCCGGGCCTCACGCCCGGTCTGGGGGGCTGCCACCTAGGCCCGTGGCTTCTCGCACCTTCTTCCCACCGTTGCTCATCTCCACGAGCCGCCACCTTCACCGAAAGCCGTGCTGCAGGTGAGACCCGGCTCTACGGCTTTTCACGCTTTTCCGGAGCGCTGGCCCTGCCGTGGTTCTAATTTTCTGCGTCTCCTCCAGGCCCACGGGCCGCGGCCTGGCTGGTCGGCTGAAGAAGCAGACGGAAGAGGCAGGAGAAGCCCCCGGAGGAGCACCTCCCTGCACCCAGCCTGCCTTCCCGACGGCCCCTGGCACCTCGTGCCCAGCGCTGTGCCCCTCCCCTCCATCCTGGTTCCGGGTGAGTTTCTCGCTTTCTTGGGACACCACGATTTCACTAATTTCAGCACACACGTCTCTACTCACAAAGGCTCACATTTAAGCCGGGGAGGGGCCGCTACCAAGAGCGGGTCCTCTTTACGAAGCCTGCAGCCTGGGTGTCGGCGAGCTTCCTGCGGCCAAGACCCTGGCTTGGAGCCAGCGCGCGGGTCCCGCCCACCCCGGGGCCGTGCTGTGGACCTGGCACGGTAAGTGGGGGTGTCCGGCTCGGGCCAGGCACACAGTAGGTTCTCAGAGGCACACAGTAGGTCCCAGGAAGCTTTGTCGAGCATGTGGGGGGATAGAGAATGGCGTGTTTGCCGGAGGGCCAGGGTGGGGACGTGGAGATAGGACACGTGTCTGTCTGTAGCAGGAAAACGTCTGTCCCCGAAAACCGTGCCGGGCCGGCCTCTGTGTGGCTGCTGGGGTCTCGCCCACGAGGCTTTGACAATGTTCAATCACAGCGTGGTTTCTGGGGGATGTTCTCTGGGCCCGTCTTCCTCACCACTGAAATCGCAATAAGATCGGAACATCTGTGTCTGTTGAAAGAAAATCTGTCACGATAGAGAAGAGGCGAGCGGAGGATTGTAGCCACACGGTTCTCGCCAGGACAGATGGGTTGGTTACCTGTGCTTCACTATTCAGCACGCGTCGACGGAGCCGGGGTGCTCGGGGCCGGGGCTCCTCTGGGGTGGCTAAGACCAGCTTCACCTCGAGGACCAGAGGGTCCAGCCGGGTTCCCTGGGAGGTCCCACGCAGTGACACGCCCTGTGTGGCGGCCAAGTGAGGTGGGTGGGAAGAGGGGAAGCTCCGCTGAGGGCACCTTGCGTTTTGGGGTCCCGGGAGCCGAGTCTCATGTCAGGGCCAGCAGCCTGCGGGGATGTGCCAGTGTGAGCCTCGCGTCGGAGGCTCCCGGGGTTGCCACGGGGGTGACGAGCGAGGGCAGTGGGGCTCCCTGGTGGTCCAGGAATGGCCTGGGGAGGCTAACTCAGTGCCCTAGACGTTCGCGGAGCCTCGGGTGGGTCCCCGCAGGGACCCTCGTCCAGATGCCAGCCTCCTGCGTGGCGCTCACACATGGGGCTCTTCGAGAGGGAAGGTGAGGCACGGAGCTCCATGCCAGAGTGGGGGACGGGCGTCCCCTCCAGGTGCAGCAGCCCGTGGGCCGCCTACCGTGGACCCCTGGGGTCCCCGCGTGGTCTCGGGTTTCTAACTCTGCTTACATCACGCCCTTTCATCAGACAGACGCCCTTCCACAGCCCTGCCCGTCTCCCCTGGAACGGAAATGAGGCGTGGAGATGATTTTTAAACAAAATCCGTCGGTGGAGGCAGCAAGAGGCAGAGAAACCCGGGGGCCGTTGCCTTTGCTTGTTTTCGCTCCCCAGAGAACCGCTCGGGCTGCAGCGAGGCGGGGAGTGTGTGCCCAGGGCTAAATCCAAGGAGGGGCCCCCGGAAGGCTCTGCCCTGTGATATTTACCCCCTAGCTGGCATTTGCTGAGCCACCTGCAAGCGTGGTGATGTGGTGGAGAGGCCTGGGGGGAAGATTTACACGGGGCAGGGTGGGGGTGGGAGGTTCGTATCCGGAGCTTACAGCGCACATCCGTGTAGCTGGTCTGGGCCGAGTGCCCATGGTTTCTGGACTCTTCCTCAGGGACATCTAGGACTCCCTCAAGGTGGGCTGAGCTGAGGTGCAGAGCTGAGGTGAAGGCGGGGGCCCAGCCCACCCCAGACTTTGCCGGACCCCGGACCCCTCGTCTTCCACAGGTCTGGGGGCCCCGTTGTACTTCAGGTACACGCTTGTGAATATCCATCTTGGGCAAACACATTTTTGCGTGTCACACGTATTTGGGGCTTTTGTGTGTCATTAAGCAGAAAACAGAGAAAAACAGAGAAAGACTAGATCGAGGGTGCTTCTCAATGAAAGAAGTTGAGATACAACCTTGCCAATGAGCCCTGCAGCCTCACACTCCTGGAGTTACAGAACTGCCGTTATTAAGCGTTGAAAGAAACTGATCATTTTCAGGAGAATTCTGTTTTGATGGATGGGCCCATCCCTGAGCGATGAGCCCCTGCCTGGCCAGACAGAGGGCGGAGACCCTGTCCCTGGGTGGGTGTGAAAGGGAGCCCAGAGCACAGCTCAGCCGCTGAGTCCCTCTGCCCCTCACTTTCCCACCTGCAGCTTCCTTGGCGGGGGGGTCATTGAAGCTTTCAGGGGCCCTGACCTTGTGACTTGCGATTCAAACCCCAAATACATTTCCAAGCGTGTTTCTCCAAATCATGTCAAAACCTGGCAAGACTTCAGGGCACCGGGATGCATATGTTTTTTATTCATTTACATGAAGTAACTCAAATGTGTTTTTTACGAGCAATCTGACTTCCAGAAAGAGAAAAAAAAAATCAACCCATCTTTAATGAGCTTGCTAATGAATTTTCCCTTGAAAAGAAGAAGGCAGCTTTACACAGAAGGTGGGTGTGGAGGGAAACAAATTAAGGTTCCAGAGGGTTAAAGGGCAGTGGGCAGTGTCAGCATTCTCAGCTGAATCTCACAAGGCGGGGGCCCGTGTCTTTTTAGACCTGAGTGTAACACAGTTGTGAATAAAGCCCAGGAACCGTCCCGGCTCCCCTCCGCGGCTTAGAGCCCTGTCCTCTCTCCAAAAGGGGGAACAGGAAAGTGTACAGCCCGGCTCCCATCTCTGGATTGAGCAGATGGAAAATTCTGGAAAAGAGTTATATTTTCCCAACGAGGCCATCTCAAATGTGGGGTTCCCATTTTGAAAGGGAGACCCGAGTGTGGGTGGGGAAGGAGGGGGAGCTGCCTCCACGGTGCCTGGGTCCAAGGGACAATCCCCGAGTCCCATGAGGCGCTGACACAGTGCCTGGGTCCAAGGGACAGCCCCCGAGTCCCATGCGGCACTGACACAGTGCCTGGGTCCAAGGGACAGCCCCCGAGTCCTGCGCAGCTTTGAAGAGCAGCCCTTAGGGGAGACTTTAGGGTGGACGGGGTGTTGCAAAGGTGGGCCCTGGCCCTTGGTGTGCAACAAGTCCGTGGTTTGGAGCCAGGAAAGGTGTGCATTGGGAGAGCCTTCGGGACTCCGCTGGGAGGAGGGGGTTGGATGCCCTCGGGGCCACGGCTGCGGGACAGAGCAGTACCAGCAAGAGGGGTCTCAAGTTCAGCTGGATCCAGCAGAAGTGTGGGGGGGAGACCCATCTTTGGGGAGCCCATTCATCCTGGGATTTCTAGTGCCTTCTGAATCTTAAGACCCTTAGCCCCATATCTCGGTCCTCACTGTGGAGACCAGATCGCCTCTAGCCATGCTTTTGGGAACCGAGCGGTGAGAAGGTCGCCAGACGTATCCCCACATTTGTCTTCTCGGCTCCCTTCCCCACCCCCACACCAGGTCCTGGGATCCGTGAGGGACCAGGGGGCAGAGCAGATGCTGTGTCGGCCCTGCCTGGGGTGCGTGAGGGAGGGGAATTAATCAGGGGGGAGCGGAGGGTGGTGGGGGGTGTAGTCGTGGGGCTCTTAATTGCTCTCCAGTTTCTTTGGGCTTAAACAATCCAGATGGAGAGTTCTTAAGTCCCCCGCCCTGGGGGTCGGGGGAGAGGAAGGCTGCCCACCACCTTTTGCGTGGCTTCTCCGCAGTGAATAGGGTCTTTGGCAGGGCTTAAGGAGACTCTTAGCCTGGGAGCTCCCGGGCCCGTTTGAGGCGGAACAAAGGCGCAGGCAGAAAGGAATGTGGGGGAGCCCCCGTGGAGCACAGCCACCTGGGGAGAATCGGGAGGGCTGACTGCACATGAGTTTTCCCAGGTCCTGTGAATACAGTCTTTCAATAGAAGGTGCCTTTTCTTCAGATGAAAAGAAGAAAAGCTCAATCACCTTCCCTGGAATAGAGCGTGTGTGTGTGTGTGTGTGTGTGTGCGCGCGCGCGTGTGCGTGCCCGCTCCCTTGGGGCTGCAGTGGCCCCTGCCCTTGTGTGTGTGTGTCCAGAGCCGCGAGGGACACACAAGAGGCGACACAATGACAAAGTTTAGTTACTCCGTCAGCACGACTTCGGACACGCTGGGGCTCCTGGGTCCGAAGGGCTTGTTTTCTGCAAGTTTCTCAGGGGGAAGACTCCTTGCCTGTAAACAAGGGCTTGATCAAACCGGGCCTGATGCCCGAGAGAAAGCCGGAGAGGCAGACGGGGCCAGGGAGCCAGGGCTCCAGCGCGGACAGCTGGCGCAGCCACAGGGGCCGCAGCGGGCGGCTCCTGCCTTCCAGGCCGTTCTCCGGGCCATCCTGAGAGTGGAGATGGAGTCGTTCCTAGCGCGTTAGGAAAGCGGGGGGCGGTGTTCGCGGCCAGGGAGGGTGGCAAGGCTCAGCATGGCTCACAGGGCCAGAGGCCGCCCTGAGCAAGGGGACCCTTTTGGATGGAGGGCAGAGAGCTTGCCCCAAACTTCCCTGAGGGCTCCGGCCCCCTGGAGCAAGGGGGGCGATACCCGACCATGAGAGGAAGGGGTCCCCCTCATAGTCTCGGCCAGGGCATCATGTGCTGGCTTCTGGGCCTCTGTTTTGCCATCTGTAAAATGAGGCAGTAGCCTGTCAGCCTTGTGTGATGTTCTGTGAGGCAGGAGGAGCACAGGATGTCAGAAGGGGAGAGGCGAGGGCCCTGCTTCCCAGACGGGGGAGACAGAGGCCTCCGGTGTCCAGGTGGGCGCCCCGCTGGCCTCTGGGGTGCACTCCCACTACTCAGGACTTGCCACCGAGAGGAGGAAATTCTAAATGGGTGCTCGGGGCACGGCTGTGCCCTGGAGCATCCTTGAGGAAGCCTGGTTCTGTGCCACCCACAGCTGTGACCTTGGATCCTTTCTCTGGGCCACTTGGCCTCAATTTTCCCATCTGTAACATGGGGCAGTGCAGGATCTCAGTCATCTGAGGGCCCTTGGAGCTCTGGCTTCCTCTGGCCGCCTCAGTGATCCTCTGTGGTTTGTGTGTTTGTTTGCTGGCTCTTCAGAGTCCAAGGGTCGGGGGTACCTGGTCCACTGCTGTCTGGCCTCCTCTGCTTTTGAGCGGAGACAGACACTAGAGAGGGCTGGTGCCTCGCTCTGGGTAGCAGGCCCTGGACGTGAAGCCTACCACCAGTGGCCGGCAATCGGGTCACATTAGCCAGTCCCCACGGTCAGTTTTGTGACCACAAAGTCCTGATAGCGCCCACGCCCTGAGCCAGCTCCCAGGGACTGCCAGTCAGTGCCTGTTGGTCACAGGACCCTCAGCAGAACCTCTGTGGGCACCCGTTCCCCCCCCCCCCCAGCTCAGCTGAGAACTTCCTGAAAAAGCCATCAGGGTGGTAACTTCTGGAAAAGTGATCAGTAACCAGGCTTGTGCCGGCTGCCGTCTCAGACCCAACTTGGGGGATGTCTGCGGCTCTCTGTCTCTCTCGGTGTTTGGCATGTGACAGTAAACAGCTCACAGAGCCCTGGGTCAGTCCCTCACCCGGTTACTGTCATGGTGGGCGGTGGCCTTGTTTTGTGACCTTGGTCGCAATCCTATCTGGAAGCTGAGATGAGGAGTGTAGTGAAATTGCCAGCTTCAATTAGACCAGTGACTGCCTTTCCCGAGGCTGCCTCCGCCACTCCAGCCATTAACCGTAAGCATACGCCAAATAGGCCCTAATTCTCTCTAATTGCCCACTCTTGAGGCAAAGAGCGAAATTCCAGGAAGAGGCATATGTAAACATCCTCCGTGGCCCCGCCGGCCCAAATGAGAGGGCTGATGGGGGCCAGCGAGAGAGGGGCCATGATTTCAGAAGATGGCCCAATTACGTCTCCCATTTTCATAAATGGGTCCAGAATGTCCAGGTCCCGCTCTTCACAAAGCTACAGGAAATTAGCTTCGCAGAGGCCCGTGTCCCTAAGGGGAAGTGGGAGGGTGGTCTCTCCTCAACAGGTGGGAAGCATGGGGTCGGAGGCCGGCCTGATGATTTGTATAAACCACAGGCTGGGTTTCTGGAAAATCACCACCTTATTGAGAACGACCATCCTGATGGCTCTGCACACTGCGTGGCCACAGGGTGTGTGTACGAAAGGCACCCGGCTCAGCTGGGTCCTGCCTGCCTCCAGAAAAGAGGGAATTTGAAAACCTTGAGCTAGAATGTTCTAATCCTGTTAATTCCCGGACGATGCTCGTGGGTCCAGTGCACACGTTTGTGAGGTCTGAGCTGCGGTGCGTGGGGCGGCTGTTCCTCTGGACCCCGTAAGGAGGCCTAGCAGCCTGGGCCTGCGTGAAAGTCAAGGACCGTGAGGAGCCCCGGGGAGGAAGCAGGAACAGACCCGGGGGCCCGAGCTACCTCCGATTTCCCTGGTCCTTCCTAGTGAACGCACCCAGGTCCTTTCCTTGCTCTTGGCCCACGGGAGTGGCAGTGCCTGGGGCCTTGCTGTGTGTCGAGGGTCTGGAGTCCCATTGTCCCCTGAGGACTGTGGCAGCCATGAGGGGGCCACCCCGGGCGCCCACAGGCTCCCAGGGAGGGCTGGAAACTGTCCCCGGGTGGTGTGCGGCTCAAAGCGGGGGAGGGGGGGAGCTCTTCCCGAACCAGAGCACAGTCTGCCCTTGGTTATCCGCCAGCTTGTCGCTATTTATTAACGGTTATTTTTTTTAAAAGACTTTTGGGTTTTGGTTATAAAATCAGCTGATTAGGGGGAAAACTGGGAAGCTTGAGGCTGGGGAAGGAATTTTTAGGAGGATTTGGAAACGAGAGGCGTGGCCGCCTGCGTCCTGGCCGAGTCCTGGGGGCACAGGGGTGGGCGCTCCTGTGAACCGGGGAGGCGCAGGACGCAGGGAGGGGGACCCCGGGGCTGAAGTCAGGGCAGGGGGTGTTGCAGAGGGCCTCTTCCTACCTCGGGGCTCCCTGCCTGCACCCGCTCTTGCCCCGACCTCTGGCTACGCCTCCACCCACCTCACAGCGCCGGGCAGACCTCAGCCGTGACCGCCTTTCGGCCACACCTCCTGACCCCTCCTGAACACGCGTTCCAAATCGACTCCCTCAAAATAATGTTTCTTGTTTTATTTTTTTAAATGTTTTATTTATTTCTGAGAGAGAGAGACAGCGTGATCAGGGGAGGGTCAGCGTGAGAGGGAGATACAGAGTCCGAAACAGGCTCCAGGCTCTGAGCTGTCAGCACAGAGCCCGACGTGGGGCTCAAACCCACGAACTGTGAGATCATGACCTGAGCCGAAGTCGGACGCTTCACCGACTGAGCCACCCAGGCGCCCCTGTTTTATTTTGTTTTTTAACCAGTAGACGGTTTCCCCCCGAGCAGTCTTAGGCTTACAGAACAAGTGAATGGCCAGTCCGAGACCCCAATTTCTCCTGTCGTTAACATCTTGCATTGTTGTGGCCCACGTGTGAGGCTTGGTGGGCCCACCTCTGACACGTCGTCCTTAACTGAAGTCCAGTGCTGACGTCACTGGTTCTGCTCTTCATATCATACCGTCCGTGCGTTTTGACAGATGTGTGATAACGCGTGTCTTCTGCGACGCAACTCACTTTTGTTTAAACTTTAAGGCAAATGCTTAAAACTGAAGGCTGGATGTGCCTGGCCACGGCTTTGTGTGGAGCTATTAAAATTTGTATTAGTTATTAAGGCGAAGGTGTTTGGGGCGCCTGGGTGGCTCAGTTGGCTAAGCGTCCGACTTCGGCTCAGGTCATGATCTCACGGTTCGTGAGTTCGAACCCCATGTCGGGCTCTGTGCTGACAGCTCGGAGCCTGGAGCTGCTTCGGATTCTGTGTGTGTGTGTCTTTCTCTCTGCCCCTCCACTGCTTGTGCTCTCTCTCTGTCTCTCGAAAATAAATAAACGTTAAAAAATTAAAAAAAAAAAAGTGAAGGTGTCTGTCCAGGCGCCATGATCGTCCATGCATGATGTGTGGGCCATTAAAGCCCCCACAACCCACAGCCCACGGCCCACTCCCAGCCTTACCCATGCTCACGCCCCACCCCACTGGCTTCTCCCTGAGCGCGTGCTGTGCCCCCTCAGTGCCCTTCCTCCTGACAGGATGCCTTTCCAGGGAGTCTTCTCCCCACCCTTTTGGCGTCCAGCTCAGCCGTTACTCTTGCGGTGGCTCTGCAGAATAGTACCTAGCTGCGCGGGTAGCACTCAGCCAAGGGCTCTCAGGTCAGAGGCTCGTTCCTCCTCTGTGCCTGCCTCCTCCTCTCCAGACCCCGTGGAAGTGGGGGTGCAGAGCTCGGCGGGAGAGCGAGCACGTGAGCCTGTGTACCGGAGAGAGGAAGGTTGGCTTTGCCAGCCCCACACTTGCTAGGCATCGGGGAGTGCCCGCTCTGGGTGGGGGGGTTCCGTGGCAGTGACCCAGCGCTCTCTCATTGCAGTTGAAGCGCCGTCTGGAATCCTCCACGAAGGGACCTCGACGTGCGACCCAGCACCCCTCGGCTTGCCAATCGTAAGTTGCTGGAGCGTGGGGAACGCATCTGTGGCCTCGTCACCGAGGGCGGGGGGCTGCCTCGCTGCCAGGCGAGCCCCGCGGGAGGGACTGGTGAGCAGCGGCCGGTGGTCCGCTCCCGGGGAGGTGGGTGCCCAGAGAGCCACACTGATTGCAGACCTGGGTGGGGGGGGAGCTTGTGTTCTAAGGCGGGACCCCCCGCCTCCTGTGTTGTCTCTGTGGTAAAAGAATTCTATAGGCGGCTTCGAGTGCCGGACCCCCAAAGAATTCCTTCTCTTTCGATCCTCTAAATGAATGGCCCTTTCATTATTGAGTGTCCTTTGGCTCTTGCGCCCCAGGGCAGACTAGGATGGAAGTGCCCTTGTGAGCTGGGGGGCCCTTCAAAGGGCCAAGGAAAAAACGCGGGCCGAGGGACCAGCCTCTCAAACGGGCTTCGAGCTCCAATGACCTTCGCTCACCCCCTTGAAATGTCTGGAAAACAGAATGGGCAGATTTTCTGTCTTCAAAGTTTCCGGCTAAATCTCTTCAAGTTCTTTATTGTTTGGGACTGAGACACTCAGCAATGGTAATGGGTAGTTGCTTTTGTATTGGCCTTGAAAGGCCCAAATATTTTCATATTGCTGCGGACAAAGCCGTCTATTTAGAACCGAACGCTGTGTCTGTCGTTTCCCACTGGGGAGACCGTGTACAACGTGTGTGTCTGTGTATTCCAGGGTCTTGAAACAGGTTTGCCATGGGGATGCCCGTTCCCCGGGGGCCCGGGTTGGGGGGGGGGAGACTCGGAGAGGAGCCCAGGGGCCCTAACCGCATACCTGTCCCTATTTGTCTGGGACGTGAGTCCCGGGAGGGTCTGGCTGCACTAACATCACTGTGCCTGTGTCTGCCATGTGTATGTGTTCAGGGCTGTGGGGTGTGCACACCTTGGTGATCAGCTTGGTGGGAGGAAGCAGGAAGGTCTAAGAGACGTGGACGTTCTATTTTTCTCATTTTGGGTGGGGGGTCATTTCACTGGTATCTATCACGTGGTCCAAGTAAGTGAATGGATGGCTGAATGAATGAAGGCACCTGGGAACGAGGAGACAAATAAATAGGTGAGGAAGTGAGCAAGCCAGGATGAGAGCACAGTGAACACGATCCCATTCGATGCCTGGGAGGTTGATACATGAATCAATAAAATATTGAATCGCCATGTAAAGAGCCACACACGAGCCAGTATCCAGTCACCACGGACCGAGGCACATGTGCGGTTCAGCGAGGTAGCGCCTGAGCTCTGTCGGAAGAGAATAAAACCCAAATGGAAGACAGAATGAGCAAGAAGTGGAAAAGCAGTGGTGGACAGACTGTATCGTACGGTTAGACATTTGCTGAGAGGCTAGATCTCAAGTGAAGCGTCCTTAGCAGAGAAGATAGAAAAAGGAGTGATCAGCTGGGGCTGGAGGAAACTTTGGGAGGTGACGGATAGATTTATGACAGGGATCCTGGGGATGGGGTCCCGGGTCCACTTCCCTCCAGACTCGGCAGGTTACATACATTAAGTACCTACAGCTTTTTGTACGTAAACTTTGCAAAGTTAAAATGGCAAAGAATGAAGAGAAGGTCACTGAAAGAGCTGGCACTGTTGAGGAGGAGAGCGCGAGCCTCATTGCGATGAGAAGGTTCGAGGAAGAGCGAGCAGGTGCTTGGGAGGGAGAGCAAGCATGGTGAAGCACAGATGGGCAAGGAAAGAAGAAGGACCATTTTCTTGGAGGAGGGGATGCCACGCCCATAAGGAGGCCCGCGTCAGGTTATTGTAAACCAAGCATTACGTTGAGTTTGCATATGTGCTCCTGGCGTAAGAATAAGTACAGGCAGCAGAGAAAGAGTTCAAAGCATCGTTAAAAAGAGAGAGAGGGCCCGGGCCACCAAGGGAGAAAGTTAACTTTTACCAAAAGTTTTTCTAACTCCAGACACACATAAGTAAGTAAATATTGAAATACTGAAAGGAAAGAAAACCAGAGAGAGAGAGAGAGGGAGGGAGGGAGAGAGAGAGAGACGGGGGAGAGGGAGATCTCGTTTGTAGTGGAAACTCCTGGACTCAGACGGGAGCCGGGTGTGAGGGGGCTCCTGGGAGCTGATCTGTCCCGTGAAAGGATAAAAGAGAGAATAAAGTAAAATATCTAAATAAAAATCAAGCATGGAAGGAAAAGTCACCGACGGTAGGTCCAGAATCCACCAGTGGGTGAAGATACCCTTGCAGGAAGGCAGTGGTAGCAGTAGGGGCAGCGGCTGTCAGGCCTTAAAGCTTATGGTCAGTCCAGTTCTACAAGCCGTGGTGCGATCAGGAAAATAAGAAGTCTCTCAATAAGTCAGTCAGTATCCAGAGAAACCTCTGGGGTGGATGGAGCGAAGGGGGCTGGGCCCGCAGGCGTGCCTGCTGGATGTTGGCAGGGTGCCATCTGGGTGCCCGAGCACCAGGGGAAGGCAGGCAGGGAGAGGGAGTGGAGGGAGGAGAGAAGCAGAGCTGTAGCAGGAGGGACGGATGGGGGGTAACATGGTGGCGGCTAAATGGATAGATGGAGAGTCTATGGGGGAGGGGAGGCTCAAACTTGGGTCGTAATGGGTCCACGTCTGAGCACTCACTCCATTAATAGTGGAGCAAACAGCTGAGAAAGAGGAAGAAAACAAGGAAGGGAAAATGGAAGGAAGGAAGGAAGGAAGGGGGAAAGGGGGGAGGGAAGGGGGGAAGGGGGGAGGGAAGGGGGGAAGGGGGGAGGGAAGGGGGGGAAGGGGGGAGGCAGGCAGGCACCGAGGAGCTGTAGGGGCAGGGATGGCCATTTGCAGGTGGCATTAGGATTCATGGGTCCCTGGCAACTGAGTGCCCAAGATCGAGAGAGCCAAGGAAGGAGAGAGAGACCCAGAGGAACAATGGAAACCAGTTGGGGGTGGGCGAGGAGCCATTGACTATAGGTGAGCATGTATCCAGTGAGGCGCCCTTGTCATCTAGAAGCAAAAAAATAGTTACTTAACTGGGGAGAAGGACCTGAGGGAGGCGTGGATGCCTGAATGGAGTGAAGGAGAAGGAAGATTTGCACTGACTGATGCGAGAGGGTGCCCGATCTTTGTAAGAACGAAAGGCAATAAGGAAGATTGAAAGGGTGGAAGACAGAAACCAATCTAGATGGGAGGGAAAAAAAAAAAAACCCGAAACGTAGGTCCATCAGTGAAGTCTATGAGAGGGTGCTGGCTTAGCACCAGTTGCCCACGTGAGTTCAAACCTGGGGCCCCAGAGTTTATAAATAATAAAACCAATACCACAGATACGAGACTGATGTGTTCCGTGACGAACAGGTACACACACACATAGGTATACGAGAGAGGGAGGGCCAAGCAGGATCAAAGCACAAGTGGGCACCAGGAGCCCAGGATAACGACGGATTCTAAACTGGACTCTTGAGATTTTTAAATAAATCCTGCTCGAGGTGTTAAACAAATCACCAGCTTGAGGAATTAAGGAACGAAAGGCAACCCCACGCTGACAGGCGGGGTGAAGGCTCCGAGAGCCACAGATTATGGTTCATCCAATTCTGTGCACCTGAGGTCCGTAAATGGAAGAATAAATATTGAAATAGAAGGGAGACGGACAGAATGAGTGGGCGCAGGAATGACTGATTTCTGAATGGAGACGCCTGCAGCAGCCAGGGAGAGGGACCCTTTGGGGTTGTCACTCATCTGACTCCAGGACACCCCACCCCCCAGCCCCCCGGAAGCGGAGAGAGAGGCGAAGAGTGGAAGGAGAGTCCGTGGACGTGCCGGGGACGGGGGGTGTCTGCAGAAGCAGGCTGTTAGGCGTGGAGGTCAGGTGGTCCTCGCCCCTACAAGGTCGACGAGATGGACAGTCGCTGTTTCTAGAGCGAGGGAAGTGGAAGGAGTGGAAAAAGAAGCCAAAGAGGAGAAAGGGAAGATAATACACGTGGAAACAACCGCAGTGACCAACGGGGAGAGGAGAGCGGGGGTCTGGACCGGGCTCAGAATTAGTTGGCGGGCATGCGCTTCGGAAAAAATCTATGCGTTACACCTTTCAGAGAATAAATGAGAAATAAAGGAAATACCCAGCCTGAAGGCATGACCCCGCACGGTTCTAGAATATCCGCAGTGGAGGCCCGTAGCTGGAATAATAAACACCTGAGCGTAGGTGCCAGGAAGGGGGGTGGCAGACGCAGGCAGACGGGCGGGCGGTGCGCACGGGCCTTGGCTGGCCGGCTCTCTCTCGAGTCCACGCGGAAGGGAGGGCTTGACGTGGGCAGGAGAGACCGCAAGCCAGGAGGAAGTGAGATCAGGGAAGAAATAAAAGAAAGGATGGGGGACCCGGAGCTGGGAGGGCACATGAAGGGGGCTGCGGAGAGAGGTCTGTGTGACGGAGGCCCGATTAGATCACAGCCGTGCTGTGGACGCTGGAGACCAGGGAGGGGGGGTGAAGGGACGAAAGGAGGAGCGACTGGAAGGGAGGACGGACGGACGGACGGACGGACAGGGAGGGCGGGACCTTCCTTCCAGGTCCCGGGGCCCACGGGAGGGTGTGAGGACGGGTGCTCCGGGCACGCCATGTGCTTGCCGCACGCACGTCACCAAGCAGTATCCTGGGGCCATTTCACCTCCTCTCTCCCATCTCAGCCTCCCCATCCGTGAACTTCGAAGGGCACCGGCTTCCTGCTTGGACTGACTGTGGGGCACCCGCTGTCCTGCCGGTGGTCAGTGCCCTGTCCGCAGCCCGGGGTGGCCGGGAGGGCCCAGGCCCCCGACCCTGAAGGATGTTGTGTGAACAAGGGGTGTGGGGCCAGGTGGGTGTCCCGGCCCCTCCCCGGGCTGGGTCACCTGTGAGGGAGGCTTTTCCCGCCAGGGGGCAGCAGAGGGTAAGGGAGCAGGAGACCCCGGGGCCAGTGGGCCCTGCCTCCCAGCCATGCTGGGTGTGGCTCTGCTCACGCCCACGGGCGCTGGCGTGCGGGGAGAGGCAGGCAGTGGCCCGGAGCCCAGTGCCCCGGCGCCCAGAGGCACATCACCGGAAACCTTGTTCATGCAACCTTCTGACATGCGCCCAGGCGCCCCCCAGCCCTGTCTTCGGTGGGTGGGCCGCCTGCCACTCTCACCTTGGGGTCTCAGGCAGGTGCACGTCAGTCCGGGGTTGCAGAAGTGGGTCCCGGATCCCAGCCCCCTTGACGTGGCATCCCCAGAGCCCGTTTCAAGGCCTCACTGTCTTCTTGACTGTTTTGCGATGTGCTCTGTATTTCGGCGAGACGGCTTCCGCGGTGTGTGGTGTGTGGGGGGCTGTCCTCTCCCCTCCCCACCTGCCGCCCCACCCCCGGGGCCGTGGCGGGTCTGGAGGCTGTGTGTGTCCTGACGTTTCCGAGCCCAGGGACTCCCTGGAACTGCCAGCGTCCTTCTCCGTAGTGGACAGGGTTTGTGTGGTTGCGTGTTTTGTGCCCGGGTTTGTCTATGAAAACCAGAACCAAAGTCCTTTCTCAAGCTCGCTGTTCCTCTTTGGGACATGGAAACAAAATGTGCCCTGAGCAGAAGGAGCCATGCCCAGCAGGGCCAGGGTGCATGGCCGGGAGGGCCGCTGACACCCTCAGTGACTCTGGCCCCGGGGTGGCAGCAGGGAGCCGGCCCCTCACAGGTGCCTGCGGGGGGCCACTCCTGTGGTCTGGGCCGCCTGCTGGGGGAGCTCACCGGGGGGCCCAGGATTCAAGGCCGTGGAGTATGAGACAGGGTGTGAGGAGGGAGTGTGGGGGACTGGGGCCACTTCCATGCTTCTGCTGTGGCCCTAAGTGGTGATGGAAGACATGGAATTCCTGTGCCAGGAGCCACCCTTCTGGGCCTCCGGTACCATGTGTCTGGGCCATGTGAGCTGGGCCACGTGGTGGGGCTGCAGGGCTCTGTGTGCTTCCTCTTTGGGAGTCTGGGGGCTCCGCCTCGGCCCACCTGAAGCTGGGGGTTGCACTTATTACCCTGAGGCACGTGCTAAGACAGGGCCCCCAAGAGCTTCCTTAACCGGCTCAGGTGTTGCCATGTGCACTAGGGTGGGGGCAGAAGGGCGCCCGGAGCAAGGAGAACCCTTTGTCAAAAGAATTTTTTTAATGTTTATTTTTGCAAGAGAGAGACAGAGCACGAGCAGGGGAGGGGCAGCGAGAGAGAAGGGGGCACAGAATCCGAAGCAGCTCC